TCGCTTGGCGAGGTCGGCGACCATTCTGAAGCGGCGGCGAGGGTTTTTGACGAGCCAAACCGACGATCGCCATCGCCTCAATGCCTCCTCGGATGGCCTCTTCGCATCCACCTCGAAATTCTTCTTCAAGTAATCCTCCATAATTAGTTCAGAAAATCAGTTAATGCTTCCACGATTTAATAGAAACCGATTTCAAGACGAAACAGACACACACACACACACACACACACAGTATTCATTGACGCAAAAGCTGATTGGGATTTGGGAATTTCAAATTGGGTGGTGGAGTTGAAGGAGAATGGTTCAAAGCTGACCTCCATCGGAATAGGCGGGAACATATAAGACTTTCGCTCGCAACCACACCTCTACTCAAATTGCATTTCTTAACCTACTAGTACAACGCCCGTGTATTATATTATACGGGTGCTTGCTAATTTTTTTCTTTAAAATTCAAAATTAATGAAAAAAAGTAGTTGAAAATTTAAATACATTTTATAAAAATATATATATTATTATATATTTAGTATGATATTTTTTATTTGTGCGACTTACCAGTGTTATATTATAATAATTTTTTTAACTTACAACATATAACTACATTAAATATAAATATATCAATTGAAAAATAATTTTATTTTTTCTAATGAATTTTAATAAATATTTTATTTTTTTATTATTATAAAGATAAATATAGTTTATTTATTTCATATATACAGTATGGATGTCAAATCGAAGATCATCAAAAGATGATTAATTTGATATATTATATATGTAAAACCGATAAGAAATACAAAAGTTATCAACTTTTAGAATACATTTACAATTCAACAGCTAATTGAAGGAAGCAAATCAAAAGTCATGGATATATTAGCCACTTAGTGTCTCACTATCTAACATTACAAAGAATTAAAGGGTTATATTAGTACGAGTGATATTAAAATACCTAAGTTAGCTAAATAATATTTATGGAATGTCCGAACCTAGATTATTAATTATTAATATATCAATATTATTTGTCCAAACCTAATTACGAAGCATGATTCTTCGCCAAGTAGGATTCCAAAGCACCAGAAACAGCCGCGTAGGCTCAGCGCATTCGAGAATTATATATAGTGAGGATACTTATATAATAAGGTATCCTATCTACCAAATTATGTAGGTAGAAAGTCAACGTAATTAATGCATTGCTATTTATATCCAGAATTTTATTTAATTATTTAATTTATTTGTCTTTTATCCCATATAAAATCGGTTTAAGAAAAAAAATATCATAATATCCGATAAGTAAAAAAAATTACGTAAAATCTTTACTAAAATAAAAAAAGACTTTATTTATTTGTCTTATTCCATAATAACATCGATTTAGTCAAAAAAATCTCATAAAATAGGTGAAAACAAAAATTCTACGTAAAGTCTATCTATAAAAAAAAGTCAGATTCAAAATTTCTTATCTAATCCCTTCTTATCTATACTTATATAAAGAGTCATCCTATTTATTAAAATTAGTAGCAAAAAAATCAAAAATTCTATGGTGTCCTGATGGGCACCATAAGCCATGCCACAATCTTATGTGTCACATGATGTGACTTTAATAATTTTAATTGTAATATCCAACATGGCATTATTATGTGGCTTTAAATATAATTTTCCAGATAAATTTATATGCTAAAATTAAGGTTTTATTAGTATAAATGTTTTAGTGAGATAATATATTAGTATTTTACAAGCTAGCCCTAACTTTTCATATTTAATGTTTTGGCTAAAAAGACAACGTTGGTTAAACGATTTGGAAAAAAAGCTTATAACTCAATTATTTTTTAGACTTAACATTGAATAAAAGAAGTAGAAAATAGATCAACCCTAATATTTTTTAGACTTAAACGAACAATATTGTGAGAATAACGCATTTAATATCTCTGTCAGATGTGGAAAAAAGTTACCCTATTGCTTTTTAGACTTCACGTTGATAAAATATGTAGAAAATAGATAATAACCCTATTACTTTTTAGATTTAAACGGACAAGACTGTGAAAATAAAAGTTTATAACCCTATTGTTTTTTAGACTTAACGTTGATAAAATATGTAGAAAATAGATAATAACCCTATTAATTTTTAGACTTAAACGGACAAAGCTGTGAAAATAACTCATTTAATATCTATGTCCCGTGCATCGCACGGAGTACGTACTAGTATTATTACTTTCTTAAAAAATTTAAGTGTAAAATTCTCATCTAAATAATCGCGAATATTGTACTAGTTAATCTAAAATAAAAAATAAAAATAAAAATAAATACAATTAGTCACCCTTGTTACACTGATTACCAATTTTCATAATGTTATATATATTTTTTTTTTTTTTTTTTTGGTACAATTCATAATGTTATATTTGATAATTAGGAATGGGCTCCGGTAAAAAAAGTTTTCAATGAAAAAAATAAAAATACATAGCCAATCAGATGATCCAATGACTATAAATATGCCAAAAATTATCCACCCACATAGTGATCCCACACCAACCTACACATTTAATACAATATAGTTGTCATTATTAATCTCTCTCTCTCACACACACAATAAACCAATACACACACGCACACTAGTCCCACACACACGTGCACAAACACACACACACACACACGGCCATCGGCCGTACCCACCTTCGGTTGCTGCCTCAACTATCCCGTCAACGACCTCCACCACCCTCCAGACAAGCTGCAAAACTGTAGCCGTCAGGCGATGACGCGAACCGTCGGACAGTGGAAGCCCGACCACTGCCATGAAATTCACTGCCGACCATCATCCACTGACTGCTGCTCTCTTCTGACGCCGCCGCCCTCGGTCACATCGACGCAGGGGCGGAGCCACCCCAAAGGTTGGGGTGGGCTCCAGCCCAGGCTAGTTTTATAAAGTGAAAATATCTATTTTCACCCCGTTTTGAAGTCTTGATAAGTTTTTCACAATGTCCAATAAAAAGCTAAGTTTTTCACCCCAGAAAGTGCGAAGGTTATGCGAAAACTGTCGTATATTCATCGCATAACTGTCCATATGCGAAGGATATGCGAAAAACTATCGCATAACTGTCGCATATCAATTGCATAATTGTGCAAAGGCATTGTGCGATAAATATGCGACAGTTATGCAATTGATATGCGACAGTTATGCGAAAGTTTTTCGCATAACTGTCGCATATCAATTGCATAATTGTGCGAATGCATTGTGCGATGAATATGCGACAGTTATGCAATTGATATGCGACAGTTATGCGACAATTTTTCGCATAACCGTCGCATATGGACAGTTATGCGATGAATATGCGACAATTTTCGCATAACCTTCGCACTTTCTAGGGTGAAAAACTTAGCTTTTTATTGGGCGGTGTGAAAAATTTAATATGTTTTGTTATGGGGTAAAAAAGATTTTTTAGTCCATATTATAGTTGAACTCAGCCCATGGTTATAATAACTCAGCCCATACATAAAACAAGAAGGCAACTTTTTCTTTCAAAAACTTTTTCCACGTGAGCAGTTTTTTTTTCACATTTTTTTTTTCACATTTAAGTAGCTTTGGAGAGAGAAACGAAAAAATAGCTTCATTAATTGGACATATTTTTATTCCACATTTCCACTCACTCACATTAATCCTTTTTATTCCTTTTTATTTTATTTCTTTTTATGAGCAGACTAATCAACTAAAATATTTTGTTTCTTACGTATTTTTTTATATACATAATTATTTTAATTATCTTAATGAATTATTACTTATAATTTATGACTTACACTTGTTTGATTGTTTCTATATTTATTTCCACAATACTTAAGGATTTCAAAAAGTTAGTTTAATGAATATTTAAGCATATTTAGCAGTCGATTTGGTTCGTACAGTCAATTCTAATATGGGAAAGATGAGAAGAGAGTTGGTAATGGTAATGAATATGATGCGCCTTTTTCATTCATTTATAAGATTTTACACAAATTATATTAACTAATATGTTCAAGTACAAATATTATGAAAATTTAGCATACAAAGCCTGATGTGTTAATTTTAATATTAATTAATCTGTTCAAGTACAAATATTATGAAAACTTAATGCATACAAACCCTATTGTGTTAGTTTTAATAGGATGATTATTATTTTTATTATATAATTAATGTATATTTTGCATTCAAAAATTTAAATTATTTTTATTATTTTAAAAACTAAATTAGAAAATTTTGAAAAAAAAATTATGGGCGACTAAAAGTCTAGAAATTAAAGTCCAGCCATTCGAATGTTACTAACTTTGCAACCGCTTATCCCACTAGGCGCCGCCTAATCCACGTAGACGTCGTTTAATCTTTCAAATGAATATAATGGCGGTCTAGGCAAAAATCGTGGCACTCATATAGACTCCTTCTGGTCAAGAAAAATATCGTGGCACTCAGATAGGCGCAGAAGGCGTCTAGACAATTTGTTATAACACTTTAAATGATCGTAATGAACATGAAACAATTATACCTTAATGAAAAATTAATTTCCAATATGTTGTTCTTTTTAATATCGATTTATATAAGTTAAATTTTTGTTGAAAATTAGCCCAGGGTAATTTTTTTTCCTGGCTACGCCCCTGCATCGACGCACCTTTGACGCCGACGAACGGCATTGCAAGGGGCTAATCGGAGGGCCGATCTCACTGGCGACCACGACCTCGCGCCTGACGACCAGCAGAGGACTCTTCGGTTGTCTGGCGTCGCAGCGGTGTTATTCTCGACGTCCTCGATCGCCGACGACGGATTGGAGGACATGGCGTCCGGCGCAAGGAGTGGCGAATCGGCCATATCGGTTGCGTCTAAGGCGATGTTGCCGTCTGCAAAGGGCGCTGAGGCGGCTGAGCGACATCGATAGAGATTGGGTAGGGGGAGTAATGGGGTTTTCACTTTGAAAATTTAATATTATTTAAGGACCTAGTTGCAAATTTAATAAATTTTGATTGTACTCAATATAGCCCATTTGCCTAATTTGTAATTTACAAAAAGTATATACAAAATATTATTTTTTGTATATTGTTTTATTCATATATTGAAATAATAAATCAAACATTAAATAAAAATAATAAATAACTTTTTCAATAATAATTTGAATTTATAATATAAATAATAAATATTTAAGTTATTTAGATTAATTCGGTTAAATTAATTCGGTTTTAGTTGGATTTGCATAAAAAAATATCCACCCGGCATAGTGCACAATAGTTTTAAACATGTTGCATATTAGTGAATATCGAACTGCACATAATGCTATAACAAATGCAAATTAATCCGTTCGAGAATACACATTTGATATAGGACAAGTCATTAAAAAATACATACAATGCAATTGCACAATAATGTCAGGCGAATTGCTCATTAACCACCATCAGATTGCACAACATTTGAATGGCACATTATTAATTGAAATCAATCGAACTAATATTTTCTATTCGAAATTTTATATTTCCGCTCGATTATCTAGTTTTACTTTTAAAATCATGGTCATTTTATTTCAATACCGGCTTTTTCTTTTTTTTTTTAATAATAAACGAATTAACCAAACCGATCGAACTATATGAAAATTATTATTATTATTATTATTATTATTATTATTATTATTATTATTATTATTATTATTATTATTATTATTATTATTATTATTATTATTATTATTGTGAGTGCACATTAGGGTTTACGAATTAAAAGGGCGACCGCGAAAGTCACCGAATGGGTCAGTCTTTTCCTTTGTCCCTTTTAAATTCAATTTCATTTAAAAGCGTGGGAGGACGTTGCAGATGTCCGGGACGGACACGACCTAAGGCTAGAAGACCACAGGAATATACCCGGGACCATGACTATCAAATTGCATATTAGTGATTGAATGAATGCACGTTATCATAATATAGAAGAAAAGCTTATTATATTCATTCACCAACCAACAAACAACACTATCGAGGTGGTATTTAGGTAAATTTATGAACCTTTAATTGTACAGGTGGAGGAGAATTCGTTATTTTGTAAGAACAGGACGTAATTTTTATGTGCGTTTTATCACAAAATTTTGTGCATTTTATATATCATTAAGGTGTATTTATTGCATTTATTGAACTTTTTAAATAAAAGTGTCTCATATACTAAAGTGTTATATAATAAGAGTTACTCCCTCCTATTTTTTTTAAATGTCATTCTAGCTTTATCAACTATTTGCTAAATAAATGTCATTTTGGATATTTTGTACATATTTTTCCATTATTACCCCCATTTAGCTAATAAATGCATCACGTCTTTTCATAATCACTCTTCATCTTTTTCTCAAAACATTCATCTCTATCATCATTAAATAAGGTTATTATTGACAAAAAAAATATTCTTAATAGATGTGCAACATCCCAAAACGACATTTATTTAAAATAGGAGGTAGTATTATGTAAGCATACACAAACACCACGTTGCCATGTATCATGTAAGCATACACATGACCCACTTGAAATATGATTTAGATTCAATCACAAAAGGCTATACACAAAGATCCTATGTATATGGGATGTAAAATTGCTATTCCTAGAAATAAGCTCGTATATATATATATACACAACAGCAAATATCAACATAAACTGAGGCATTTGTGTTACTCTGTAACAGCTTACCCTATTTAACTTATACTGCCAACGAGTCCTGCAAGCATTTCTCTGCGCTTTCTACAAATTTCTCATCAGTTTCACACTCGACATTTACGGGCCCACAAGTGCCTCCCCAATTAGCCATCCCTTTTCCGCACTCACTAATACCATCATATGAGCCCACAAGGCCACCCAACCCGCATGCCACATCATCCGCGCCACCAGCCAGTCGTGGTCCACATTCACCTCCTCTTACATCATTGACCCAACTATACGGTCTGTGACAATCGCCCAGCTCACAATCGATTTTTCCTCTTAGATTGACCAAAATGCCCCTGAGCCTCGCAGCCTCTGCCTCAAGAACCGACTGCCTCTGTAGTTTTCCCATCAGCAGCTTGTTCGTGCGTCTCAATTTCTTGACCTCCTCCTCAAGATAGGCCGCGTGAGCCTTCTTTTTCTCTCTGTACTTCCTCACAGCCTCTCGGTTTCCAGCTGGCCTGTGGGATGTGGAAACCGGGCTTCTATCCTGCTCGGATGGGATTACGTGTGTGTGAGCGTGATAGCACGTGTGAGTATGGGTAGCGCCCGGGCCTGGCGGGTTGCAAGTGTGGGTGTGGGTGCAACTTTGGGGGCTTTTCAATAACACACTGTCTACAAATGAATTTGATGCTTGGATGTCACCGCAACTCCTCTCAGTATCATTCCTACTTCCTTCCATTTCTGGACCTTAAAACAATTTTTAACGAAATAAACTGAAATCTCAACACCATCAGACAACATAGAAGTTACAAATCCTATCTCAGATTTTGCGGCGATCAAGAAGATAACTTTTCATCATCATTTCTTAACAAGTAATTTCGCAATAATCAAAGTCAGTAGAGCAGAATCTTAGCTGAGCCCATAGCTTAGAGTCCTTAATATGTTCATCACCAGCTCCATGGAAGATTTGTTTGACTACAGCAAAAACTTAACGCCGCCCCCAAAAAAACCCTAATTCTGTAATAAGGAAATAAAGCCTTTGACAATGAAAGAGTAAACCCAGAAAGAAATCAACTGCAGAGTATCAGGAAAGAAAAAATATATCAGTAATCGATGATTATCATAAGCTGCTTGCGCCTTGCAGTCTGCTGCTGATTCGCTCGCGCTTGTGTGAGTGAGTGTTTCCCAAGTTGTTTTATAATCTTTTGTAGGAAAAATATCAAACGTTCAAAACTACTCTTGTAGCTTTCGGTTTTTTGTATTTTTATTTTTGGTCCCATTAGAATAGTGTTTTTCGAAATCAGTCTTTTTTAACTTTTTAAATTCAATCAAAATAAAAACAATTGTTGTTGAATCTGCTTTTTCGGCCTGTAAATGACATGTCATGGCGAAATGTCTTAATAATATTATATGTTACGTCACTTTGAACACTTTTCACCATGAATGATCCTCCTTCTCAAGCCTTCGATAACCTGCAATCTACCGGGGAAGAGGTCCATACGGAAAACTCTCCGACGCTCAAGTCATAAATCTCTCAACTGTGAATGTACATAATATAAAGAATAAAGCACAGATTGTGTGTTGTGTAATCAGAGAGAAGTTGTCGTCTTTATATAGGACTTAATACCTTGGGGCCGAAGAGTTTGTTAGGGAAGAGAGCCAACCAAATCCTACTTCTCTAACTTTCCACGTCTCTATCTTGGCAAGAGTCCTTGCGCGAGTGGTTCTTTTCTTCATACTTGGATTTTCCCCCTATTTTATTGTTTTAGCTCGCGAATCCTTAGTTCGTAAGTCCGACCTCCTATCTTCTCTCTCATGGCCTTTCCAAGGACGTACATGGACTTATCCTGAGATCTGATCTGACCTCGTCTTTAGGTCCTGTCCCCAGGTCACCCGACCTCGATATATACCGAGGTTGATTTTTTTCTAGGTTCCTAGAGGCCGGTACCACTAGATAGGGTTTGTTCTGTAAGCTCGGCGCCTCAAACCTATATATGAGCTACTTGACCAAGCAACTTGCCTCTATGCTTAAGGGAGTTTTCCTAGACCAGCATTAGCCAAGCTACTCTCTCAGACCAATTTGTGGAGCTACTTCTCGGTGCAACATCATCTAGCACCCCATTTCATGACGAGCTAACCAGACTTGTACTGAAATGGACTTTTATGCACGTGACTATGTATCTGACCTTCTTTCTCTATTCAATGTACCAAATACTTCGAAACACCATAAGGCACCAAAAAGATACTTTGTATATGCTCATATCCCAATTTTCGACACGTACACTACACACGTGGATGTACCGAACCAAATTAATTGCAGATCCTAAAATCTTGTAATTCTCCAATGTGTTGGAGTGTATACTGAAATCTATGTTAACAGTATTTTCGTTTGAATGATATTCATGTTTAATAACATAAGTTCTATGTTCGGTTGTTTTGCACTTAGGTAAATTGTTCACGCGGATGAACAGAAGATCATTTATCGATTTACTTACGAAATATAAGTAAATTGGTTCACAACCTAGATAAAAATTTAATAAGCCGTCGGAAAGGTTGTAGTGTTAGCAATACAATTGGTTTCCATTGATTAGTTGCACTAATACACATTAGCATATTGAACAGTATCCCAAAGATGAGCAGTTCGTTTTATACTTATCGTCATAAATAAACTAGGCCTCGACTGATTATTGTGTTCTCTTAACTCGTAATATATAAACAAACACATGTATGTAGTAATTACTACTTTGATTCAGCAAGGTGGGGTTTATTGATATTGGCCAATAAATGTCTGGATTGGGTAGTGATTTCTACATGACATGGTGTTTTGTTATAATATTTACGGTCACCGTGAACATCACAAAGTTGAGGTTTGATGATGTTCCCGGAGTGAACTCAGAAGGATTATTATGTTAAACCTGGCCTGTGGAATTTATTCCGACATAGTAATAATGTATTGAGTGGTGCTAGCTTCTGTTCAAGAAGTCAATTAATTTAACTGTCGACAATTAAATTAGTTTATTGGACATTATATATTAAACATGGAATGGTAAATTGAGTAAGTTAGAATTGGAGCTCAGGTGTAATTTGAAAATTAAAGTAGGAGTATTTTAATAATACTACTTTAGTGGAATGACAATATTATTCATATTAGGCTTGGAAGACTTGGCCTATAGTCTAGTCCAGTCCTAAACCACACACATCCAGCCCCTCATGGGGAGTAGGGGGGAGTTAAATCGCAGGATGTGCCCTGCCAATGGTCCAATTTATTTCCTTGGAATTCAGAGGGCCTACTACCACATGAAGAGTTTACAGCTTGTTCCTCACTTATAATAGAATAACTTTCGTGTAATAATCGCAATTACTTACGAACTTACCAAAAATAAAAGTTCAAACAAAATAATATGCAAATAATTATGCATATAATGTTTCACCTACTAATAGCATATTTTAGTAAAAAACTAAAAATATTGGTTTTGAGGATCACAGTTCCGCCGCATTTTTACTAGAAGAAACAAACATAATGATTATGCGGTTCAAAATATTCTCATAATGACTCACATGTTTCGAATCAAATCAATCATTCGAACAATCCATTCTACATGCCTTGAAACATCACATATCAATAACTACTACATAATGGATTATGAGGCAACTTGAAACGTTACGTCTCAATATAAATACTACATGAAGAAGTCCAAATAATTTCATTCATGCCCCTACCACGATGTATAACAGGGAAAAAAATGTGAATGTATTTTGTGTTTTTCATGTTTAAGATTGCCTACCTCCGTATCCCGATGGCAGGTTCATGTACTAATTTCATGATTCTCGTTAATGATCAGTGTATGCTCGAATACTTCATACAAGTTTATTGCCCCTATCGTTTTTCATCTGGTTCCTTCAGGTGTTGATCTCGGCCCTTCCTAAGATCCTCCTACTCATTATTTTGGAAATTTTCATTCTTATAAATTTTGAGGATTCAGGATGTTGAAAACCTCCTTCACGTGATTCTCGTACAACATTCCTAAGAGGAGGACATTTCTAGGGGTTAAAAATTTGACAATTAAAGAAAAGCTGGAAAAATGTAAAAACATGCTAGGAATGTTATATTTAAAGAAGTGTTTAATAATATTGACTCACTTTTTAAAATTATTTTTTTCTCATTTATTAAGTTATGATTTTTATTTTATTTTATATTTTTAATTACTTCCTTTTCTGTAATATCATTTTTCGTGCAAATGCACGGAGTATGGCTCACGAGCGGCTAACCAAATGTTATATAAAAATTACATATACATTTTTTTTTTGTTCTAGCTCTTTATTCTAAAATATTATTATTATTATTAAAAATTACGTATCTTAAGTACCCGAACGCAGAAACTCCTGGGCCTGGCGGAAGAATTAATCATTTTAGTAATCTCCCACTCAAATATCCAGAAAAAAGTACGAAAATTACAACCATATTATTAAAAAAAAAAAAAAAAAAA